GGCAGGAGACGGACAGAAGGGCCTGCTGGGAGGGTTTCCTCTCTGGCAGACAGAGGGCAAGGGCTGCAGACAGATCCTCTGAGTTGGCCCTGCGGATGCCTCTGGGCGATCTGGGCGGCCCTGGGGGCGTGAGAGACCAGAGGTAGGACTGCCGTTGGAGCAGTGCCTTTATTTTGGGGAGCGGGGTAAGGGAGACCTTGCAGCAGGAGGGTCTTAGAGTTCCAGCAAGGGTGGGTAAAGAGAAGCAGAGAAAAGAAACTTCCTTCACCAAACATATATTCTCTCTCTTACGAGCCCAGCAGAGGAGAAGCAAGATTTTTGTGACACTCAGGTGGAGAGGGCATGAGGAGGAGGCGTGAGGGAAGAAAGCGCCCTTAGAATCCATGCCCCCGGGGCTCAAAGGGGAAAGTCCAAAACTCTGAGTCACAACCAGTCTCTAAACACCTGGGCCACCCTGACTTTTGAATGTCATCACAGTCCAGGCGGCCATGAAACTGATGGACTTGTTGCCCCTCAGACATGTCTTACCCATTCCTCACCCTGGCCATGTCCACACGGGCCCCTCCCCCCCGCCCGCCCCGTCAGAGTGAACCAACTGGGGAGAGAAAAGGGAGCCCCCTGTGATGAGCTATCTTTGAGGGCCTACTGCGTTCCGACCCCAGCTCTACCCCTTACCAACCGAGCGACTTGGAACAAGTTATTTGGCTGTTGGGCCTCAGTTTATTGCATCTGCAAAATGGGGTTTCCCTCCCCGAGCCTCATTCCTTGGAGACAGAATTGGCAAACTCAGCAGCCGGCTGCTTTAGCAGGAAGCAGGGGAGGAGCCAGGGCCAGAGAAAATCAGGAATGGGTGTAACGTACCCAGATCTCTAAGCGTGTGAAAGAAGTCTACCAGACCCACAGTGGAGGAGATGTGGCGGAGGATGGTGGAGATGGCCCTGGAGCGGCCGTGGGTCACCCCTGAGCGAAGGCTTCGAGGCCGTCCTGAGGCCGATCCTGTGTGCTTTGGCGCCCTCTACTGGATCGATGTGGTACACGCACAAGGCTTGCCGCGGTTTCCCCCACATTTTAACCCGGCTTTTTCTCTTCTCTCTGCACCACCTGCCTGTAAGAGACACCCTAAAAACCGCAGGCATGCTTGAGCCATGACATCGTGGGCATCACGAGAATCACCTCCCAAACACCGTGAGGGGAAGGCCTTCCTGACACACGGTGATCATATTCGTCTGATCCTGGGCAAGTGTCAACGTTGGCTCATTGAAATTTGAGAAGGGAAAAGAAATAGCTTCTCCAGTTGTCTGTGTATCTGACTTTTATTGTTAGCTCTCGGGATCCACGTCCGGGGTCCTCAGAGTTTCTAACTCACCCACCAACCCAATGTCACAAGCCTTTGTAGGGAATGGATGATGCAGGGAACCGTGAAAATGAGTGGGCCAGAGTCCTTCCTTCCTTCCTTCCCTCCCTCCCTCATGCAGTCAGGGTTTCTGGAACAATCCCCGCCCCCCGCCCAATTCTGAGCACAGCACCAAGGCAGCTGTGGCGTTAAGCTAGGCGCCCAGGCTGCGAAATCAGGCAGACATGGGGCTGAGTCCCAGCTTCGCTTCCTACAAGCTTCATGACACTGAACACATTTTTTTACTCAGTTTTAAGTCTCAGTTTTCTTCTGCCTTGTTAAAACAGTCAGGGATGATACAGCAGCTCCCTCATAATGCTGTGGTGGGGACCGAATGAGACCATGTAGTGAAGCTCAGCTCTCGGAGAGGCCCCTGACACTCCGGACACATGGGGCGGCCACCGAGTCTGGGAACAGACGTGAAAGCATAATAGCTTGTTGACATTTCGTTGCAATACGTCATGAAGTGATATTGTCTGTTTCCAGACTTTACGGCCACCCTATGTCTCCCCTGCCCTGGATGAGTTTTCAAACTAGACCCCTAGTTTTCCAACTGTGGTGCCTGGACCAGAAGCATCAACAACCCCTGGGGGCCAGCTGGTAATGCACATTCTCAGACCTTCTGAACCAGAAACTCTAGGGATGGGGCCAAACGATCTGTTTTAACAAGCCCTCCAGGTGATTTCAGTGCACCCTCAAGTCTGTGAACCACCAATCTAGGGAAAATGATACACATGTAAACAATCACAATACAGGTGGGCTTCCCTAAAGGTGTGATGTCATGGGCAGAGTTTTAAAGGAAAAGCAAGTGTTCACAGGTGGACACAAGCCCTATGAGAGCAGAGATTAGCACTTGCAAAGGCTGGGAGGCACAGAAGGGAGGTGTGTGTTGAGGGAACCACAAATGATCTGGTCTGGCAAACTGGGGAGTATGGGAGGTGAAGCTAGAGAAAGAAGGCAGGAAGCCAGATTATGCAGGCCTTTCAAGTGCCTGAGTAAGGAATTCAGATTTTTTCCTGTAACTGATGGGAAGCACGAAAGGTTTTTAATGCAGAATGATGTGACCAGATTTGCATTGTAGAGAACAAGCATTCTGGCAGCAGTCTGGCCTGGAGGCAGGGAGATCAGTTGGGAAGCTGCTAGAATGATCCAGGTGAGAGCCCATGTGGGCAGGAACTCAGGCTGCGGCCATGGGGTGAGATATTTCGGAGGAGAACCGACAGGCAATGGGGCGCCAGCCTGTCTCTGAGGGTTCTGCTCTGGTGGCGCTTCTGAGAAAGATGGAATCGGTGTTGGTGAGGAAGAGGGGACGAGTTCAGGACCGGGCACACGGAGCCAGGGCAGCTCAGGATGCTCCAGGCTGGCAGCTGGAACAGGAGTCAGCCATGCCTCTGTTGTTTATCCCCCAACATCTCCCATTATTTATTCCAGCAAATATCTTAGATTCCTATCATGCGCCAGCAGGGTTCTAGGACATGGTGGAACACGAAATAGCCAGAATCTGCTCTCAGGACTGACGTGGCAGTGGGGGGACACCAGCAATAAATAAGCAAATACAGAAACAGCAAACTTCTGGCTACCTGGCAGGTGGTATGAAGAAAAGTAAGAGGGTCTGGGGGCGCTAGGCCTGGCTCAGTGGAGCATGAGACTCTTGATCTCGGGGTTGTGAGTTTGAGCTCCACATTGGGCATAGAATTTACTTTAAAAAAAAAAAAAAGTAAGAGGGTCTAAGGAGGAGCAGAGTGGGGCAGGGAATGGGGTATCAGGAAGGGTTACTCTCACAAGGTAACACTTGAGCTAAATGATACATAGGTGCCAGATACACAAAAACAGGAGGAAAGTGCTCCCAGGCAGAAGGAACAGCACATGCAAAGGTCCTGAGGTAAGAATGAATTTGGCACAATGGAGGGAAAGATGAAAATCGCCATAGCTGGCCAGTTATGGAAGATGAGGTCAGAGAGGGTCAGGGCCAGGCTACAGCAGGTGGTCCGTGTTCAAGGCCAGAGGAGAGGGGGTAATACAGGTGAAAGTACCTAGTAGATGGTCTCACGCACCAGATGTACATAAGGAGTATGCAGACGGTATCATCAAGGAGAGAAGAGGAAATAAATCTTAACTGCAGCAAGGATTTCGGTTCAATTTCAGGGAAAGCTCAGGCCATAGGAGTCATGTCATATCTGAACAATCTCCAAAGCAGAGAATTTGTCCATTGTGTTTAACAGGGGCGCCTGGGTGGCTCAATCGGTTAAGTGTCTGTCTTGGGCGAGTCCCGCATCGGGCTCCCTGCTCAGTGGGGAGCCTGCTTCTCCTTCTCCCTCTGTCCCTCCCTCTGCTTGTGCTCTCTCTCTCTTTCCGTCAAATAAAGAAATAAAACCTTAAAAAAAAAAAAAAAAGAATATGGGCGCCTGGGTGGCTCAGTCGTTGAGCGTCTGCCTTCAGCTCAGGTCATGATCCCAGGGTCCTGGGATCGAGTCCCACATCGGGCTCCCTGCTCCGCGGGAGGCCTGCTCCTCCCTCTCCCACTCCCCCTGCTTGTGTTCCTGCTCTCACTGTGTCTCTGTCAAATAAATAAATAAAATCTTTAAAAAAAAAAAAAAAGAATATGGTTAACAGCCAAGCTGGCGTAAGTGCTGGCTGGTCTCAAGGCAGGGGATGGAAGGATGAGCTCTCCGGACGGAGGAAAGAAGATTTGGAAGGAGAGCAGGAGGGGAAAGAGGTGAGGAGGGCCCTCCGTCCGTGGCCGGGCCGGGGATTCCTCTGGCGGTGCCCGCGCCCCAGCTGTCTGCACAGCCACGCTCTCCCACCTGTAGACTCCGAGGCCAGACCAGGCACAGGCCTGTGCACGCCGAGGCTCGCCCATGGGAACTAAGCCAGGACCCAGCCTGCCTGGGAGATGGAGAGACCCGGGCCGATGCCGAGGGCAATGAGTCCGGTCGGGTGGATGTGGACGACCCCAGCCCAAAGAGTTACCTTCTGCTTCCAAGGTCACCTCCGGGACACCTTCCCCAGGTGCGCAGTCAGCTGCTGAGAGCGCCAGCTACCCCGGCCCATGGAGCAGCGTGACCAACCCGCAGAGAAAAACAGAGCACCGCACACACCCCTGCCACCTCCACGATCACACATGCCCCAGCCAGGAGAGCAGGAGAGATGGGGTGGGCCTGGCCACCTCCCGGCCTGCCTGTCTGTGCACCCTCGCTAACACCTTCCCTCCACCTGGCTCCACCTCCAGCTCCTTTGGCCATCCTGGTGCTCGGGCTCCTTCCTCTGAGCCTTTGTCCCACGTGGGTCTAAAGCAGCCTCTTTCCTTTATTTGCTGAGCTATCCCCCCGCCTTTTCAACCCAGCCCAACACTCCCCTCACCCACTCCAACCCGGAATAAACTTCCCATGACCGACAATGGCTCTCCCAGACCAGCAGAAACACACACCCAGCTTTCTCTGCCACGTTCAGAAGCCTGGAGGCCTCCTGGCCATTCACAGACCACCCCCCCCAAGGCCTTCAGTGCCCAAGCAGACCCTCTAAGCACCTCCCCTCCAATGCAGCCATCAAGGACAAGGACAGCAGTAGGCCCAACAGTCAGACCAGAAAGAAACTGCATCTTACTCACTTGATGAAATACACAGCTCCTTCCTGAGTAGAATCCATCTCCCAGCCCTTGGGCAATCCTGTGAGGAAGCAAAATCACATCATGACTCTCTCTTCTCAGCCCCACAAACCCGATTTGCACACAGGAGGGATGGGGCGGGGAGAACTAGGAAAAATTCACAGACAAGCCAACAGTGCTCAAGCCAACCATGTCACCTTTTTGGTCCATTATTCCTATCCGTCTGATTCCAGCAAATAATAAGAGCGATGGCAGTGAATGGGACGCCCCCTGTCTGTGAGCAGCGAAGTCACCAAGTGGATCATTGCCTTGCACAGTTTGCTCATTCATTGGACAAACTTTTCTTGAGCGGCTCCTCTGGGCCAGGCCCTGCGCCAGCCCCGGGGATGGTTGCCCGGGCAGGGCGCTCAGGGTCATCCCACAGCCCCCTCCCCTCACATCACAGAAGCACAAGGGGGAGCCAAGGTGGGTCACTTGCCCCAGGCCTCACCGGGGATCAGACCAGGACTCAAGCCTGCAAACCCCAGCCCAAATTATCACCTCTAGCTTCTGCTGCTTCCAGACAAGATGCTGAGGACTTAGGAAATCAGTCCAGGGAAAATGGAGAGACTTTAAAAAAAATTTTTTTTAATTGACATATAATTGACACATGACATTATATTAGTCTCAGGTGTACAGGGTAATGATTTGTTATTTGGATACATTGAGAAATGATCACCACAAGGCTAGTTACCGTCCATCACCATACATAGTGACAATTTTTTTTCTGGTGATGAGAACTTTTAGGATTTACTCTTTTGGCAACTTTCAAGTATGCGCCTTCAGTATTATCGACTACAGTCACCGTGCTGTACATTATATATCTATTTATTTTATAATTGGAAGTTTGTACCTCTTGACCTCCTCCACCCATTTGGCTCCCCATCAGCTCCCCTCTCCTCCAGTAACCACCATTCGGCTCCATTATCGATGAGTTTGGTTGGGTTTGTTCATTTGCTTTGCTGTTTAGATTCCACATAAACGTGAAATCCTATGGTATTTGTCTTTCTTGTTTCACCTAGCACAGTTTTCTCCAGGTCCATCCTTGCCATCACAAATGGCAAGATTTCATTCTTTTTTATGGCTGAGTAGTATCCTATGGGATATATCTACCACATCTTTACACATTCATTCATCAATGGACACCCAGGTTGTTCCCCTGTCATGACTGTTGTCAATAATGCTACAATGAACAGGGGTGCATCTATCTCTTTGAATTATTGTTTTTGCTGTCTTAGAATAAATACCTAGCAGGGGAATTGCTGGATCATAGGGCAGTTCTGTTTTATTTTCTGAGGAGCCTCCATGCTGTTCTCCACAGTGGCTGTCCCAGTTTGCATTCCCACCAACAGCGCAAGGGAGTTCCTCTTTCTGCCCCTCCTCGCCAACGCTTGTTATTTCTAGTCTTTTTGATAAGAGCTCTTCTAACAGCTGTGCTGTAATATATCATTTGGTTTTGACTGCACTTTCCTGATGATTAGTGATGTTAAGCATCTTTTTTATGTGCCTATTGGCCACCTATTATGTCTTCTTTGGAAAGAAGGTCTTCTGCCCCCTTTTTGATCAGATAGTTTTTTTATTTTGGGTTTTGTGTGTTTTGCTTTTTGGTGTTTTTTTTTTTTGTTTTATTGAGCTGTAGGAGTTCTTTATATATTTTGGATAGGAACCCCTTGTCAGATATACGATTTGCAAATATTTTCTCCCATTCTGTAGGTTGCCTTTTCATTTTGTTGATGGTTTCTTTTGCTGTGCAGAAACTTTTTAGTTTGATGCAGTCCCACTTGTTTATTTTTTTATTTTTTATTTTTTTTAAGATTTTTATTTATTTGAGAGAGAGAATGAGAGACAGAGAGCATGAGAGGAGGGAGGTTCAGAGGGAGAAGCAGACTCCCTGCTGAGCAGGGAGCCCGATACGGGACTCGATCCTGGGACTCCAGGATCATGACCTGAGCCGAAGGCAGTCGCTTAACCAACTGAGCCACCCAGGCGCCCCCCCACTTGTTTATTTTTGCTTTTGTTGCCTTTGCTTTTGATGTCAGCTCCAAAAAATCATCACTGAGACCAATGTCAAGGAGTTTATTGCCTGTGTTTTCTTCTAGGAATTTTATGGTTTCAGGTCTTACATTCAAATCTTTAATCCATTTTGAGTTAATTTTTGTGTATGACGTACAATAGTGGTCTAGTTCCATTCTTTCGCATGTAGCTGTCCAATTTTCCCAACACCATTTAAAGAGACTGTCCTTTCTCCCTTGCATATTCTTGCCTCATTTGTCATAAACTAATTGACCATATATGCTTAGGTTTATTTCTGGGAGTCCTTGAAATAAATACCATTTGATCATGGTAAATGGTCCTATTAATGTATTGTTGAATTCAGTTTGCTAATATTTTGTTGAGAATTTTTGCGTCTATGTTCATCAGGAATATTGGCCCGTCATTTTCATTTTTCATGGTGTCTTTGTCTGGATTTGTTATCAGGGTAATGCTGGCCTTGTAAAATGAATTTGGAAGCAATCCCTCCTCTTCAATTTCTTGGAAGAGTTTGAGAAAGATCGGTATTAAATCTTTGAATGTTTGGTAGAATTTACCAATGAAGCCATCTGCTCCTGGGTTTTTGTTGGGAGGTTTTTGATTACTGATTTAATCTTCTTACCAGTAATCACTGTATTCACATTTACTATTTCTTCGTGATTCAGTCTTAGAAGATGGCACGTTTGTAGAAATTAAGCCATTCTTTCTAGGTTGTGTAATTTGTTAGCATATAATTGTTCATTGTATGTCTTACGATCCTTTGTATTTCTGTGGTGTCAGTTGTAACTTCTCTTTTATTTCTAATTTTATTTATTTGAGCCCTCTTTTTCTTGGTGAGTCCAGCTAAAGGTTTATCAATGTTGTTTATCTTTTCAAATAACCAGCTCTGAGTTCATCTTTTCTATTGTCTTTCCAGTCTTTCCAGTCTCCATTTCATTGATTTCCACTCTGAGCTTTGTTATTTCCTTCCCTTCTGCTAACTTTGGGCTTCGTTTGTTATTCTTTTTTCAGTTCCTTTAGGTGTAATTTGGATTGGTTATTTGACATTTTCTTGTTTCTTGAGGTAGGTCCGTATTGCTATGGACTTTCCTCTTGAAGCTGTTTTTGCTGCACTACATAGATTTTGGTATGTCGTATTTCTGTTTTCATTTGTCTCAAGGTATTTTTTTCATTTCTCCTTTGATTTCTTTGTTGACCTATTGGTTGGTCGGTAACACATTGTTTAGTCTCCAAATATTTATGATTTTTCTGGTGTTCTTCTTGTAACTGATTTTTAGTTTCATACCATTGTGGTCAGAAAAGACATTGACATTATTTCAATCTTCTTAAATGTCCTGAGACTTGTTTTGTGTCTTAACATATGATCACCCCTGGAGAGTGTTCCATGTGCACTGCAGAAGAGTGTGTATCCTGCTGGTTTGAGGTGGAATATTGGGTATATACCTATCAAGTTCATTTGGTCTGATTTAAGTCCTATGTTTCCTTATTGATTTTCTGTCTGATTGATCTATAAAAACATTTTTTAATAGCACCCCTGAAAAAAATTATCCATGGAAATGCTCAGAGTGGAGAATTGCAGACTCACAGAGTGAGCAAGAACTGAACAGCTGAGGAAGCTGACCACAGCTCAGAGGTGCCGGGGCAATCCCTACAGGCGGCGGCAGCCCCTGCTCGGCAGCTCCAGAGAGGCTGAGCACCTGTCTCCGAAGAGTGCTCTGTTGGGTACCATTTTGTCCTACCCATCCTCCCCCCAAAAAATCCTGCCTCCCTGGCAGACAGGATTCCTCCACCCCAAAGCAGACAGGGAGTCTTCTGAGAAACCCAAGGGAAACCCCTGTCAGAGGTGGGGCCAGGCAGGGCACTGGTAGAGATCATTGCTTTCGGGCGAGCAAGAGCCCTGCGGCTGACATATTGCAAAACGGGTGTGGCTTCTCTTGACAATCACCGCCACCTTTCTGGTCAGGCCGAACATCTGCCTTGTGTGCGAGGTTTTATAAAACACGGCTATTCGCTCTTGGTCTGAACCTCGCCCACCCCATCATCAGCTGCCTCAGGGCACAAGCCGCTGCCGAGCACAGCCTGCGTTCTACGGAGTGGCAGGCGCAGCTGTCAGCACTCATTTTACTCACCCCTATTTCCATGTTGCTGTTGATGGTGACGCTACTCTTCAGTGCAGCAGGAAAGCCAACGAGCCCAGCTCCCCTCTCAGGACCTGGTCCATAGAAATTATAACACCAGCTGCCCCTTAATGTGTCCTTCCTCTAAGCTACACATTTTACCACTGTTAGCACATTTAATTTGCACAATAACAGTATATAATAGGCATCAGCTTGAACACTTTTATCGATGAGGAAACTGGAGGCCCAGAGAGGTTAATCAACTTGCTTAAGGTCACACAGGAAGCGTCTGGGCCGGGATGTGAGTCTGGTCTTCTGCTTCCAAAGCTGACATTCTATCTTCTGTGCTGTTCCATAAATGCTATTTGTTCCCCTCCGTCCCTGGGGGAGGACGTTCCCATTCAGAAGGGCGTGGGTTGGCAGTCTCCCCAAGTAGAGGGATCCCCATTGGGTCAGAATCATAAATAATCCTGCCATTGTGATGTGCTTGGGAAAGAGGCCAGCGTGGATTATGTCCCCTGCCTTTTCCAGCAACTTCCCTCCACACTGCCCTCTCCGCCCGGGCAACACCAAGAGTGCTTATATTCCTGTCCAGGCGGAGTGCCCGCGGAGACAGCTGCCCTCCCGGCAAGCTTCAGGGGCACCTTAACCCCTTCCCAGCCTTGGACAACCACTTGGCTGAAGCCCCAAATAAAATAATTGGCATGAAGGCTTTTATTCATCTTCTAATCCTCCCTAGAGTCCTAGTGAGATAGATGGAATTCGATTTTAAACACCGACAGCAGCAAAAACACCAACCCAGAAGAAGCACGCAGCCCGGCCTTGGGGTCCGGAGGCCCTGCTTCATGTCAAAAATAACAATAATGACAATAGCAATGGCGGTCTCCTCCACCGAAGGGGATTCTCTCCGGTAGCCTTTGTTAGACTCTTCGGAGGTTCATCATCCTCTCCCTATCTTACAAATGAAGAAGCCAAGTCCTGGACGATTTCAACCACTTGCTCAAGACCACACTAACAGAAAGCAGAGCCAAGATTTGAGCTCAGGGCTCTCTGCCTCTAGCACTTAGGGTTTAACCCCAACACAACTCCGCTTATTAGCTGAGTGGCCTTGAGCCAGGTACTTCCTCTCTGCTCTTCAATTTTCCTACCTTTAAAAGGAGTTGACTCCAGGGTCCCTGAAGTCCCTTCCAGCTCTAACAACTGATTCCAGCCCAGAGTCTAAAAGAAAGGAGGCTCTGGGCAGGCTAACACCTTAACTCAGTGTGTCCAGCAGCACCAGCCGTACCCCATGAAATGGCCAAAACTCCTAGAACCACATGTCTGGTATGCAGTCAGGGAAAGGGCTGGAAGGCCAGGGAGGGCAGGTCAGTGGCAGCATTCTGAAGAAGATGATCGCTTGTCCACTAGAAGCACCCTAGCCCTTCTCCTTCTTGGTGTCTCCGCCTCCCCAGTTTAGACTGAAATCTTGCCTGTGCATGTCCCCACTTTGCCACTGACCTGGGAGGTTTTTTAAGGGCTAGCGATGGAGTCTTCTCCACAGTAAGCAATCAGTGTGGGCCCTGACTCCTTTTCTTTCATGTTCTCCCCAATGTGAAGGAATTCCTATTAGCCATGTGGAGCTATTTAAGTTTAAATTCATTAAAATTTTAAATTCAGTTCCTCAACCACACTAATCACGTGTCAATTGCTCAGCAACTACACGTGGTTAATGGTGACTCCATTGGGCAGCATAGAGAGAGAACATTTCCATCCTGGCATGTAGTTCTATGGTACAGGACCAGGAGCTGGGGTTCTGTCTAGGTCAGGAGCTCTGAAGGTGGACGGGATTTTCTGATTGGGCAAGAGGATGAGAGAGAAGTCAAATCAGCATCCTCCATGGTCTGTCCCACATATTAACTGGAGAGCTAGAAACTTGGAAAACCTCAAGCTGAGTATCAACCCTCCTGCACCCTCCCCCAGATGGTCGTCCAAATGCTAAGCTCAATCCATCCATGGAGAAAAGAAAAAGTCACAAGAAAAGTCAGGGCAGGGGATGTGTAATGCTACCTCAAGCCACCGCTTCATCCTCGACTGCAAAGGCAGGGACAGCCGAGTTCCTTACCTGGGCTGGAGGAGTGTCCACTCTGGATGGCAGATTCCGTGCCAGGGTGCACCCAGCTGGTTGACTTTTCCTCATCACTACAGAAGACCAATAAGAAAGTGTCAGATACAAGAAGGCCTCCCTGAGTAGGACACCCCTCTCCAAATTCACATCAACACTGATTCACATTCACGAAGCATTGACTGAGCAGACGCTGAGGATTCAGTAATGAATAATATCTGACCCTGACCTCAAAGAACTTATAACCCACCGGGGAAACAGACATAGAAAAAGGTAGTTGCAATATGATAGGATAGGAAGTATACCCGATCCCTATTATAGCTACGTGTAGAGAGCATTATCCCACCACCGAGGAGGGAGTGCTAACCGGGATGAAATTAAGGAAGAGGGACAGCATGAAGACTTCACTAAGGAGGTAGCATTTGAGGTGATTGATGAAGTCTCTGGGGGGAACAGGGAAGGTCCTTAACTGGCAGCCTCTCAATGGATACGAAAAGAGGAGGCTGGGTCCCTGGGTGTCTACAATGCTAAACAGTTTCATTCACAACAGTCCCTCATGTTAGGAATTTTACAGATGATGAATCTGAGGTTCAGAGAGGTTAAGTAACTTGCCCCAAATCATACAATCAATAAGTGATGAAGCCACGATTCTAATATCTTACTTCCAGCAAAGTGGGCTCCCTACCACTGCAGATCCTCTGGGTCTGGATCGGAAGGCAGATGAATCCATCAACATTTCTCAATCCCCCCCTCAACCAAGTGATACTGAGGTTTCCAGAGCCAGGAGGGACCCAGCATGAAGCACCTGACTTTCTTTTTTTTTTTTAAGATTTTTTTTTTTTTTTTTTTTGACAGACAGACAGCGAGAGCAGGAACACAAGCAGGGGGAGTGGGAGAGGGAGAAGCAGGCTCTCCGCAGAGCAGGGAGCCCGATGCGGGGCTCGATCCCAGGACCCTGGGATCATGACCTGAGCCAAAGGCAGCTGCTTAACGACTGAGCCACCCAGGCGCCCCGAAGCACCTGACTTTCTCGGCCAATCCAGGTACGTGGAGGAGAGGACTCTCAGATTGCCTGTATCATCCAGGCTTTGGGGTGGGGCCGTTGGGCCCAGGACAGGACTCCACTCACTGCTTTCAAAGTATCATTAATACTGTAGTTAATATAATAAACCCCACTAAGAATGCTTCCACTAAAGTAAGATACACAATACTGCACATACTTAAAGTGTACAGTTCAAAGTTTTGACATATGTATGTACCTGTGAAACTATCACCAAAATCAAGATGTGACCCTCCCAATTTTTCTCCGTGCCCCCTTGTAATTCCTCCCCCCAGCAACAACTGATCTGCTTCCTGTCACTATAGATCAGTTTGCATGTTCTCGAGTTTCTAGAACTTTATATAAATGGAATCATGCAAGCTAGATTTTTTTCTGACTTCTTTATTTCTTCTTCTTTTCTTCCTCCTTCCTTCCTTTCCTTTCTTTCCTCTTTCTCTCTTTCCTCTAAGTTTGGACACCTACTACGTACAGGAGGGCATTCCCCAGCTGACCCAGCCCTCTGAAGAGGAGAGAAGAAACAGAGTCACTGTTCTCGTGCCCCCAGGGCACTCAGGGATGCCCTGTGATGTGGGCTTTGTTCCTGGGAGGCCGTGGGAGAGGAAGCCCAGGGAGGGCAAAGTCAGCCAGCGCTAAATTGTAAGTGTGCGGGGAAACCCATGATGCCCTTACACCTCCTCCTCAGCCACCCTGAGACCCGCGGGCCCCGACCCCTCTTCTCCTCTCACCGTTGCTCCCTCAAACCGCATGACTACCCCCACCCCTCCTGGATATCATGGACCATCCCAGGGTCACAGAGGTGGACACAACCCATCACACCCTCAACTTCCTCCCCCTGTTCTTCTGCCGCTCTCCCCTTGTCAGCCCCTGGCCCAGAACGATGTAGTCCCGGGCTATCTCCACCCCGGCTTTGGGCTGACAGGGAACCATAAAACTGGGATGACCCATGTCACTGCAAACCCACAGCCCCCATGCTTAGCTGGGCCCTAAGTGCCCCCTGCAATCTTCTTCAGGGTCCCCAGCCAGTTGCCATTTGCTGAGAGTTCCAAAGCTTCCCCAGCAGCCTCAAGTCCCTCCCCTGCCTCTCCTTCCCTCCCCCGTCCCCATCCTCAATGGACAATCTTTATCGCTTACTTCAAGAAAACACAGAAACCATCAGGTAGGAGCTTCCTCACTACAGCCAACCAGCACCCCCCAAATGGACCCATATCCCCACCTTCATACTTGCCTCTGCACTAGGGAGAAAGTGGCCTTCCCCCAGTTAAGAGTAATCCTCTGCCTGGGTTACAATCCCCATCATCTCCTGTCTTTTCTAGAACCTTCTTCTATTGAACATCACAGGCTCATGATCTTCAACTTCTCTCTGTCTCAGGTCATCATCCCTTTAAGCCCACCCTGGTCTGTGTCTTCCAGTCTGAACCCCTGCCTCCCTCCCAATGCCACCTCCCCTTCCAGCTTCCTGTCTTGGGCTCCTCTTCTTTCAGCATCCTTCTTGGAAACCAGTCTCTTCAAGCTGTCCCCACTTCCTGCTCTCCCTCTCACCTATCCTCTGCAATCTGGTTTCTGTCCTCAGCCCTCCCCTGAAATCACTTTTCCTAGAGGTCGTTAAAGAGCTCCCTAGTTCCTAAATCCAAAGGATGCTCTCCAGTCTTCAGCTCACTTGGCCTTTCCATATTGACCATTCCTTCCTCCTAACACCCCTCTCCCCTGCCTTCTAGGGCAACGCCCTTCCCTGGCCCTAGGGCTATCCATCCTGAGATCCTTGGTCTCTCCTCCTCTATCCCTTCTTTCAGTGCTGGTGCTGCCTGGGTAGCCCTGTCTTCTTGGTCACATACTTCTGGATGGTTCCATCCCTATGCAGTGACTCCCAGGACTCCCTCTCCAGCCCAGGCCACTCTCTTTAACTTCTATCCTGTACGTCCAGTTGCCTGTCAGAAATCACCTCCTGTACATCCCATGGGGACCTCAAATTCAATACTTCCCCCTGAAAGTGCACTCCGCCTAAAAACCTGTTCCTCGTCCCATATTCCTGATCTGTCAAACTCTAGTTAAAATCTCTGAGATTCGTCTTCGATTTTTCCTTTTCCCTCTCTTCCCCAACTTTCAGGCAGTAAATGAACAGCCTCAGTTCTACTCCTACAGACTTCTCCTATCTCCCCTCCCTCTATCCTCACTGCTAAAATCCAACCCATCAGCTGTCTCCTGGACTTCGGCCGTTGCCCCTGACAGTTCTCCATATGCCAAGTCTCTCCCCCTGTCTCCCTGTTCAGCCCTCAAATCATCACCTGTCCGCCCAGCTGCTGGAGGGATCCTTCCAAAGCCCAGGTCTAAGTGTGTCAATCCTCTTTGAAAAATCTCCTCTGGATTCCCATCACCTGCAGGACCACGTTCAAACCCCGTAGCCAACCACACAAGGCCTCCCCAAAGCTGCTCCTCCCACGTGTCCTGCCCCCCCTTCTGCAGCACCCAGCAGCCCCCACTCCATCTCCACTGATCCCCTCAGAGTGTTCTAGACAACCTGTGCCCCAGTACCCACCGGCCCCCGCCTTCCCACAGTCCTCTGCTTCAGGGCCCCTTTCTCCCTGGTCCTCTGCTCCAGAATCAGCTCAAATGTCTCCTCCTCCGGAAGGCCCTCCCTCCACTCCCCAGAGAATGCTAGTTCTTTCTTCCTGGTGTCCCTAGACCATCATGCAAATACCTCTAGAAGATATCCTCTTATTTCCTAAGTATTTACCTGCATCTTCTCCCTACCACCTTCAAGGAAAAACCTGTCTCTTACTGGGTTTTTCTCTCTAATGCCGAGCGCTGTGGCCCACACGTGGTGGCTACTCGAATGTTCGTGGGGGAGAAAGAGAAGCTGGAAGGCCAGCAAGAGTTTGGGAAGGAAGATGAGAAGAGGCAAATTAACCGCCTGGGCCGGGGAGCTTGCGGAAATGCACAGCGAAGGCCCCACCCCAGGTGGGAATCGCCATCTCCGGAGGTGGGGCTCAGGAATCAGCCTCTTCTCAAAAATTCCTTGGGTGACTTTTAGGGACTCCAAAGTCTCCAACCACTGACCAAAGGGACTGCAGTTTTCATACCAGTGAAGTTCTGTCATTTAAGAATCTGACCCAGGGTCAAGAACTTTTGTGGAGTTCCTTTCTAAGATGATCTAATTACAGCATCAATTATGATCATGGCGATGATAATTACAGAAGAAGGGCCTAAAACAAGAGTGGAAGCTGAGAAGCACCGGAGACAAGCCGCCGGCTGCCTGGGCTCCTTACAAAGGCAGTTCGGGGCAAGGGGAAGGCAGGGCACTAAAGTCAGCGGGTCCTGGGCTCAGTCTGAGCTCTGATTAGCAAGTGGTTTTATCTCAGACAAGTACTCTCCATCTCTGTAGACCTCGCCTCCCCATCTGAGAAGTGAAGGGGTTGCAGCCAAGGTTCCTTTCAGCTCTAATGTTCTGTGAGTGGCTATCTTGAGAAAAAAAAAAAAAGCCATCATGTGTGGGTAACAGTTCAGAATGCTGTGCTTCTAGACTTGCTATATTATCGGGAGATTTCTATCCTGGCAAAGAACGACTATAGTAGGAGCGGGCCAAAATAGCACCAGCGGGGCCACTCTGTTATAATGAGATTATGCCAGAGCCATTTTGGTTTATGAAATTAATATAAGGGCACTAATATATTACTGAGAGCAACGGCTTCCTCTCTTTAAAGAATACCAAATGCACTGTGGGCGTCTTCTCCTTCCCCTTGACCACAGCCCCATAAAGAAGCAGGACAGAGAGGGGCTGCCTGCCTGGGAACACTGAGTCCTGGGGTGAGGGCAGGGTCTCCGGGTGTGATGTCACTTAGCCAAGTGTTCTCGCTGGAAAATCTGGGGTGGGAACAAGAGAAGGAACGTCCCCCTGGCCCTTTCTGTGGCCGGAGCTGAAAGGAAAGATGGCCTTCCTCCTCTGGGCGGCCACTGGCCCCCTGGGACTGGGGGGGGGAGGCCCCCCCGCCCCGGAAAGGCCCGCACCTGCCCTGCCGCACCCTGCCTTTCCAGAGGAGGGCAGGCCCAGCCTAGGCTGGACTTTGACCCATTGAGGAAAAGGCGGGAGACACATTCAAACCGGCATGGTGATAAACTTATTAGTCACGCGTGCTTCCAGCCAGCTTCCCCCTACCGCTCAGCCTGCCCCCAGCCCTGCCACCTTCCAAGCTGGACAACTCGAAAGAAAAAATAAAATGGCAAAACGAGAGAGAACAACGTACTTGATGAAGAAGACTCTCCCCCCGCGGTCAACTCCGTAGGTCCACCGGCCGGGCAAGTCCAGCCAGTCAATCTCATCGGCCATCTCGGCGTCCAGAAGCCCCTCTCGCTCCGGGCCCTCCGGGGCGCGCAGGGTGGGGGGGCTTCCTGCCCAGCGGCCCCCACTGTCCGCCCTCCCGCAGGCGGCGGGGGGTGGGGGGTAGAGGGGAGGGGAGGGGTCCCTGCCGGGCGCCCGCCTCTCACTGAAGGCGGCGGGCCGCCAGCCGGGCGGCGGGGAGCAGGGGAGACTTAACCCCGGCCGGGCCGGGCCGGGCTCCCGCTCCAGCCGCCGCCTCCCCGCCCGGAGCCCGCTTCGGACGCCTCCTCAACTTAACGCCGGGCAATCGGCGCGCCGGGGGCTTCCGACGCTCCCTCGCCGACTGCCGGCCGCCGCGCCGAGCGCCGCCCTTCCCGCCCGCAGCCGCCCGCGGAGCAGGTTGCTGTGCGCGAGCGAGGGGTGTCGCCTCTCGCTCCCAGCTGCGAACCTGCACTTGAACCGCCGGCCGGCCGAGGGGAGGCGGGGCCGCGCCGCCGCCGCCGCCGCCGAAGGTAATTCACAGCCAGGAGGAGGATCCGCGGCCGCCCCGGCCGGTCCCCAACCCCAGGCGCCCGGCGCGGAGAACCAGTTTGGCCGAAAGAGCTTTGAATCACGGACCGAGGGGACGTGTCCAGCCGCCGAACGGAGAAGGGCGAGTGGTCAAACCTGGTTCTACTTGGCGGGAGGTTAGTAGAGGAACAAAGGTCAGATGCCGGGAAGGGTGGCACGCACGGGTGTGGGTAGCAAGGGGCCCTGGCTGTCAGCCTCATTAGTCAAGCTAGCTCTTACTTTTGTTTCTGAGCACTTCCTCCAAGAAGCCTGCCATGACTAAGGAGAATCAGAGTGAGACCTTAGAACACACTCAGTAACCAACAGCTTTTATGTCCCTTTCCCCTAACTTGCACCAGAAAAGGAAAAGGGAAGGGGGGAAAAAAACAAAAAGAGGAGGGAATGTGTTCTGTGCATAGAATGCAGGTTGTAAGCTTTCAAAACCGGCATATCAAAAATGGTATTGCTGGAGCCCATAGTTGTGTCTCTGTCTGCCTCAAAGCTGGGGTTCGGTGAGCTTTCCCGGCTTACCCGGGACCTGTTCCTGGGGCTCCCATTAGGTGCACACCGCTCGGATCCATGTGTTAGACCCAAGGGAATCATTAGACAAATGAGAGACGCCTGCCTTTAGAGGAAGCGGTGTGTTGCATGGAGCTGGCTGGTATGTGTTGAGTGAGCGTACTTACTGTGAGCATTCTAAGGGATTTGATCCCTGTTCCTCCTAGGAAACTGTGTCTGCCCATGCATCACCTCCTCCAGGAAGCCATGCTTGCTTGACTCCACACCAGACAGATTTGTGTATCCATCCTCTAGGTGTCATGATGCCTTATTAATAGTCCTATAGTGGAACTTATCACACTGTAATGCAATCCTTGACTTACTCATCTGTCCCTTTCCTTGGGCTGTGTGCTCCTCAAGGCAGGAGCTCATTTTATGCATCTTTATAGCCCTAGCAGAGACCTGGGACACCTAATTCATGTTTGATGAATGACTGATGCTGTCATAGCTGGGAACAACTATTTTTGTTTAAAGATTTTATTTATTTGTTTATTTGTTTATTTATTTATTTAGAGAAAGAGAGGAACAGGGAGATGGGAGGCGGATAGACTCCCAAGCACGCTCCCCCCTGAGTGTGGGTCTGCTCACAGGCTCACGACCCTGAGATCCCGACCTGAGTCCAAACCAAGAGTCAGTCACTAAACCAACAGAGCCACCCACCATCCCGTACTTCTGGGCCTTACTTAGGGGTCTGCTGAATTATAGCCATCAGCCACACCGAGGTGTGTGTAGGGAGTGTTTTCTGGAAAAAGAAACAGACAGTGAGCCTTCCCAGGTATCCCAGTGCTCAAACTGGAGGACATAATGTGTATACAGCTGCTAGATAATGAAGCTAGAAGATGCCTCAGGGAACATCTAGTCCAATCCTTGTGTTAAATATGGGAAACAGAGAAGCTAAGATGAGAAGAGGCTTATTAAGGTCACTGAGCAAGTGGGGGCAGAGAAGGATCTGCCCACCAATGTCCAGGCCAGAACTCTTGCCATTACATCATCTTGTCTCCAACTCTGGGAATTCACTCTGCCGACGTATGCAAGTTGATTCCTGGATGCCAGGTGGAAGCTGAGCCCATTCTACAGACGCAGAAGAGTAGCAGAAACCCGTAACACCCAGCTATTTCCTCCCCCTCTCAAAGCCTATGGGCTTCTAGCCGAGAAAGCTGCATTAGACAGCAAAGCAGAGCTGCGCCTGAGAAGCATAGGTGGGGATCTGTGCCCCTGAGTTCCTGAGTTGGGGAGCCTGGGAGGATCAGGGATCAGACTCCCCTCCAACTCCAGTCCCCTGTCTTGTGAAACACCTGTAAGACTCGTCCTGCCGATAAAGCACAGAGCCACCTACCAGCCCCTGTGATATCAAAGGATCTGAACCACCAGAATTACTGCCAAGATGCCCCCAGGGAAAATACCAGCAGCCAGTGCACTCCCAGTCCAACCTGAGCAACCAGTAAGGGCAGCTGCTTGGGCCGAATGTGGGTGGAAACAGGGATGAAATGACATATATTTGAAAACATGTATTCTTCCACTGCCTTCCTTGAGGTGTAGGGGTTCCTGTTGATTTCTTCACAAGATTTTTGCATTATTTATCTCTAATCCAGCCTGGGGTTCCTTGGAACCTATACCTAGACAAGAAAAGGCTGGTGGTTGAGATTTTGAATTTTTTTTTACTCATTTGAAATGAGAAATCAGTTTTGAACTTTTCCAATTATGGTGTATTCTCAGTGACTTTTTACATTCAAGATCTTGTTTTCAGTTACGATCAGTATTAATACTGCTAAGAAAGACATTTTAGGGGCGCCTGGGTGGCTCAGTCGGTTAAGCATCTACTTCAGCTCAGGTCATGATCTCCGGGTCCTGGGATCGAGCCCCGCATCCAGCTCCCTGCTCCGCAGAGAGTTGGCTTCTCACTCCCCCTTTGCCCCTCCCCCTGCTCCTGCTCTCTCTCTCTCAAATAAATAAAATCTAAAAAAAGAAAAGACATTTTATCAAAGGAGCTAAAAAATAATGCAGAAAAGGAGTAGAAAGCGCAAATAAAAACAGCCATTGTTTCAACAGTTACCTGTTGAAGCGGGCAGGAGGGTTGATATGTTGAAATAAAAACCTTGCATGCTTTGTGGTCCGGTTAAAAATTTAGTTATTTGTTTTCCCCTGCAGCAAATTTTATTTCACTTCTTTAAAAGGCAACAAAGCACATGGAGAAAATCATCAGTAATATTTAGAAATGATTCTGATTCTCTCATCCATTTTGAGGCCTTAGTCACTTACATATTCCTATGTTTCTGGCTTAGTATGGGTGGTGGGTTGAGAAACAGCCCCCCAAAAGCGGCCCATGTCAAATCTCTGGAACCTATGAATGTGACCTTATTTGGAAACAAGGTCTTTGCAGATGTAATTAAGTTAAAGATCTTGAGACGGGGAGATTATCCTGATTACTCGGGTGGGCCCTTAAATTCAGTGACAAGTGTCCTCAATAAGAGGCAAGGGGAGCTTTGAAACAGACAGGGTGGGGGGCAGGGTGACCACAGAGACAGAGATTGAGGTGATACAGCCACTAGAAGCTGGAAGAGGCAAAGAAGGAATCTTCCCTAGAGCCTCCAGAGGGAGTGTGGCCCAGGTGTTGACCTTGATTTTGGACTTCTGGCCTCCAGAACTCTGAGAGAATAGATTTGGGTTGTTTTAAGCTGCCCCAACTGTGGTGATTTGTTACAGTGGCTAGGGGAAATTAATACATACCTGTAAGAAAATCATCACTTAATGAGACCTGAAATATATGTCAACTACTTTTACTTGTCCAGTATCTAATCCCCTTTGTTCTGTTAATAGCCCCCTGAGTTTCCTTCTGACATCCTCCCCCCTGCTACTCTCTGCCCGTGTAGGTTGGATGGGCTGGCCTCACCCCTACCGCAGCTCCGTTGGGGGTGGGGGGGTGGTGCTATGACACAGATGTGGCTAATCTGACCCCCTGTTTCCCTGGCCCTAGTGATCGGTTCAGGAGGGGACACATGACGCCAACCAAATCAAGGAGATTATTTTTTAAGAAGACCCCAGAGTTGGGGCACCTGGGTGGCTCAGTCGTTAAGCGTCTGCCTTCGGCTCAGGTCATGATCCCAGGATCCTGGGATCGAGCCCCACATCGGGCTCCCTGCTCGGCAGGAAGCCTGCTTCTCCCTCTCCCACTCCCCCTGCTTGTGTTCCCTCTCTCGCTGTGTCTCTGTCAAATAAATAAATAAAATCTTTAAAAAAAAAAAAAGAAGAAGACGACCCCAGAGTTCTTAGATAGCAGCTCTTTTTCTCTTGGCTTTGAAGCTGACAGTTGTCACTTTCGTGCTCCTGGGATCCTCGTGTGGAAGGGGCTGCTGAAAGGGAATCCAGTACAGGAGAAAGTGGAGCCCGACCTGAAGAGAGCCCGGGGCCTCCTTCCATCCCATGAGCCCTGGGACCCGGCTTGCCAGAGGAGGCTCCACCCCTGGGATTTCAGCTTGTAGGTGCCCTTAGTGGCTTCGGCCAGTTTGAATTGGGTTTCTGCCTGTGACCAACACAAAGGTCACAGTGTCTTGTGCTTCTGTTCCTTTGGTGTAAACAATGTTTCTTTGGGAAAGCCAATGAGATAACCAGCTGCATTTTTAGTGATGCAAGAACAAGAATGCTTCTCTTCCAAGAAAACCACAATTTCAGATCAAAAAAAGATCTTAGTGATCACCTCATCCGAAGCTTACATCTTCCCCCTGGAGGACACTGGAAAACTCAGGAAGAACCCAGAGTTGGGGTAATTCCGCAGCAGAATTGGGACCATAACTCCGGTCTCCTGAAAACCTGATCAGCAGAAAGCTAGACTTCAAGATTGACTTTACCACGTCAACATATTTGGCTAAGAGACTTACATAGTTACAAGATTACACCAGATTCCTCTGCTCTATAAAGAATAACAACAATAGTAATTTTTATTGAGTGC